CCCCTCCTGTCAGGGAGTTGCAGAGAGTGAGGAGGTCTCCCCTGAGCCTCCTCTTCTCCAGGCTGAGCCCCCCCAGCTCCCTCAGCCTCTCCTCCCAGCACTTGTGCTCCAGTCCCTTCCCCAGCCTTGTTGCTCTCCTCTGGACCTGCTCCAGCCCCTCCATGTCCTTCCTGAGCTGAGGGGCCCAGAACTGGACACAGCACTGGGTTACCAAACGAGTTACCTTCCAAATCATCAGCGTCACCAGGAGCTGGGAGCACATTGCTCAGACAATCAGGATAATTCCAGCTTTTTTGCAATTTGTTCCAGACAGGCTGAGACACCCGTAAGAGCACTGACACTCTGGGCTCATCGTTTGGCAGCTCCGGGCCTGGCACACGCTGTCTCTGCCAGTCCCACCCAGAGATCCAGGCAGCTGATCCAACTGGCTCAAGGAGCCACCAGGACTCTTCGAGAGTGTTTAATCCAGGCTGATTGGAAGCCAAAAGGAATTAATTCTGCTCAGAAAGGACGGGGCAGGATCCTTTCAAGCGCTGCAGTTTTAGCAACTCCCGGCGTTGGACAAACACCAGACACGGTTGTGGGCACTCCAAGGGGATGTGATGGAACTGGGAAAGGACCAGAGCAAAGGAGCACGGAAAACTCAGGTCAAGGGAGGTTGGGCAGCATAAACCTCTGACTGGAGAAATGCTGGAGTTTATTAAAACCATAAACATGCAGGAAGTTGAATGATTATTATTCAAACTCTACTGTACAAAATCTAGAAGGCACCAAAGGAAACCTCAGGTAGCTGGTGCTGAAGAAAAAAAAGGGATAAGCAGCACCTTTGTTGTGATATGTAATTAAACCATAGGACCCATTACCCACCATACAATGAAAGCAAAAGTATAAACAAGCTCCAAAATACAACCAAGGAGAACAGACCCCTTGGACCACACAGGTTAAAAGCCCTTTTAAAAGATCCTTTTTTTCCACCTCAAAAATCCCTAGACATCTGAATTTTGGGAACCAGAAAGCTCAGGATCATTTTAGCCATGCCTTGGTCCTCAGCAGTCAGCCTGTGACACCAGCTCCAGCTGGAGAGGATGTTTGTAGGTAAACCCTGCACAGCAGTTCTTTGGGTTGTTGTATCCCAGGCCCAGGAGAAAACTTGCCATGAACTCCAAGAGGAACAGGCCTGGACCCTCCAGGCCCCCTGTCCAGGTTCACATCTCCATCCAGTGCCACCTGAGGAGTTTGGGGATAGGACAACTTTGTTCCAAAGATGACTGTGGATTTCTGAGGATTCCAACCCAAAACACGTTCCAGTGACAGAGTTAAAAAATCCCTTTGCCTCTACCTTGGAAAAAGTGCATTAAGATCATACAGTCCCAGGCCAGCTGAGAAACTGCAATTTGGGGTGATTTAGAGCTGCTAATGGGTGATGTCATCACTGGAGTGAACCCAATCCCCTAAAAATGTGCAAATGAAGTGAGCAGGAGCTATAAAATACATGTATTTCTCTCCTCAGCAGCAACAGGCACATCCCAGCAGGGCAGCTTTCCTGGGTGCTCGTCTACAGCCCGAGGAGTCCACCAGAAATCACTAAAAAAAGGACAAAGAGACCAAAATCTTTTCAAGAAGCAGCAATCTATTCTTCTCCCAGGCCTTTGCTAACAGCAAGTCAGCAGGATTCCTTGGAAGCAAAGGAGAAATAGGCCCCACTGTGGAAAGAAACCGAGGGAGGGTTTTCTGGAATGACAACCAAGGCATTTTGGGCCACTGTCTGTTAGACTCGGGTTTAGCTCAGTGGGATATTGATCCTGGCTGCATAAAACACAGCCCTGCTGTATTTTCTGATTAACAGCTTCTGCTGCCTGGTTTTTGACAAACAAAATCTCCATCGTTGCAGGGAGATGAAAAAATACATTTATCGATAATTCCAGGGTGCAGGCAAAAAAAAAAAAAAAAGGGGGGGGTGGTTGGAAAAAACAGGTGGGAAGGATTTCTGCATGATCACTGTAGTATTTACATAAGGGTAAGTTCAATCAATGCAGAGCCTTCCCCCACAGCCTCCTCCAAAACACACCCAGACTCTGCCCTTTTTCCTATGGAAACAGATAACGAGAGCAAAGCTGCTATTTGCTTTTGTGGGGTTTAGCTAAAAGCTGAAAATGAGATCAGATTTTCTGACATTCAGCATTTACCTCAATAAAAACGGGCACTCAACAGGATTAGCAGGTACACAGCTCTGTGTGTGGTGTCATGAAACACGTTTTCATGATCTTTCATGCTTACACAGAAATAAAATTTAAAAAAATAAGGGAGAGAGAGAGAAATCAAAATCCCTCTGTGATATTGAAGATTAATGTGAAACTGAGCTTGGGAATGAACACTGATCACTGCCTGGGAAACATGAAGTAACATTTCCAAGTAGAAACCTTGCACATATGGCAAAGGAAAGCTTTTGATAGAGTAGTAAAATGGTATTTCAAAAACTGATGTCCTACCTATCTATATTTATAAGAACACATTAAGTACTGGCTTAGCATTGTCCTCTTTTATTATTCCCTAATAAATTACACCCCGATCATTTTTTGAAACGCACGGATCTGAGTCTCCTTTCCACAGAAGTGAAAATTAAGTTCCCACTCATGTCACCACCTCTCAGTCCCTCCCTGGAGAACCAGCTGGGTTTGGCAGCAGCAAATGTTCTTCCTCAACAACCTGCCTTCAGTCTCGAGGCAGAACCGAGGAGGTTTGTCTCAAATGAGACAAAAGGGGATGTTTCTCTCGAATAAACAACCTTGCTCTGGCTTCTCCAAGCCCCTAAATCAAAGCCCCAAGCTCAGGCAGGCAGTGGGGGGATGAAAAGGTTTCTGGGCAGTGAAGGAAGCCCAAGGAAGAGGAACTCCTGCTTTCCAGCACAGCCCCATGGCAACACAGCAGCGAGCTAAGAACACAATAAGGATCTAGGAAAAACACCACAGGCTACAGAGAAAACACTAATTCAGTCCCCTGTGTGAGGCTGCAGGTTTTGCAGTGCTGTTTCTCTACTGTAGGTCCCTCCAGCTCGTTCCTGGGCTGGAAATGCAGCCCCACACTCAGGAAGGAATCCAACCCAGCACACGAGGAACGCCGGGATTTTCGGGAGCCTTCCCCCAAGCACCACAAATGTTACATCCAGCCCTTGAACGAGAGGATTAGAGGTCTGGGGAGACGATTCTTGGGCTTAATGCTGCTGAGCTGAGCCTTTGCCACTCCTGCACTGCCCGCCTGGTGGGAAGCCCCCGTACGAGGCGGCTTCCCCGGAGCCCGGTCGGTGTCACCATTGGAAACCAGCAGCTCTGACGTGGCCGGGACTGTGCTGGAGAGGAACACGCCTGTTTGCAGAGGGAACAGGGCTCCTCGGTCCAGCTGCCTCATCGAGCTGATAGTCCTCAATTATGCTCCCAGATCAAACAGAGCTGCAAACAGCTCCCCCAACAAACCCAGCTCCGCTCAGACACCGGCGCTCGGCGACTCACGGCCCGCGGCGATTCCACGAGCGACTCTCCAGCCGCTCTTGTAAAACTTTGAGCGTCTCACTTGTAAAGAAACCAAACATCTCTTGATTCCTGGCATGTGTTTATGAGAAAATAAAAAAGCCCTGTCTAAACAGTATGGCTGGAGTTCAGAAAAGCTTTTCTGTAGAGCCTGAGCTTTGAGCACAGAAGCGCTGGAGTCAGCTGAATCCAAAGGTGTACTTGAATGCTTTGTTGAAGGATAAATTCAAACACATTCCAAAGTGCCTTCCAGAATCAGGGCCTTGATTTTAATTTTTTATTTTTTTTTTAGCTCACAAAAGGGCGTAGAACTGACTAGGAATCAGCACATGCCATGGGTGTGAATAGTTGTAGCATCTGTGCTAATTCTCTTCTCATCCTGGTACCCCCCGTGCTCCTGAGTACATAAATCTGATTCTCCTCGTGACTCCACTGAAGTTCCCATTGATTAAATCCCCAACCCAGCAGCAGGAGAATCAAACCCCACATATTTATTCTCTTCCTCTCAATGCATAAAGGATTCCCTTTGGCCTCTCAGTTGCTGGATCACATGGTGCCTGAATGCAAAGAGAATTCCAGTGATAATGTGGCTAATGAATACATTTGTATATGTGTGCAGGCATTTCCCTGCTCTCCACCACTAACCAGAAAATACAGACACATTCACACACAGGAGCAGAGAAGGTGTGGGAAAGGAAGGATTTGGGGAGCATGTTAATACCAGGCTGGGGGAAAACTGACTGAAATCCTTCCAAGCTGAAGGCTGCAAGCTCAGGACCTCAGGGAACATTTCCTTTGGAGCTTTAAAGCCCAATTTGTAGACTACAAGTGATACTTAATATTTGTGTTTCCATTATACCCTCCAGTCATATAAATAAATATACATTACAACAGTTTCTAATGTAAAATATTGTGAGCATTTCCAAGAAAGAAACCAGCGACATCATTTCAAACCACTGCACAAAATACACAGGTGACATTTGCCTTAATAAGACATTTTGAATTCTTTTCAAGCATCTTTGAATTCTGTTCAGAAAAGTTATTCGGTAGCAGAACAAATGCACTCCTGCAAAAACTTTGCTGATTTCGGAGTTGTAATAGCTTAAAAATGGGATGCTTTTAATTTGTTAGCACGTTCCATGTTGACTTTTAAAGTCATCCTGTAATGCTAAATAGATTGGTTTAAATCAGGCTCAAGTACCAGTGGCAAACAGAACCTGCAAAGCCAGGGAAATGTTAGGAAGACTCTGGATAAGATACACACCAGAATACCTACAAATAAATATCCTTAAGGAAAACCACTTTTTAGTTGGTTCCAACACTCTAAAAGTGACTCGTTCAGCACAACAAATCCTACAGTCAGAAATGTAGGGATATAATATTTCCCTCAAATCAATCCCACTCCAACCCAGAGGTAAAAACCAACACAAATCAGAGTGAGAGGCCCCCTTAAAGCCGGGGTGAGAAGTCACCTACCCTGTGAGGACCACGACGAAATCCATCACGTTCCAGCCGTTCCGCAGGTAAGAGCCTTTGTGAAAAACAAACCCCAGAGCGATGATTTTTATCCCAGCCTCGAAACAAAATATTCCAATAAAGTAGGGCTCAGTGTCGTCCTGAAAGAGAACAAAAATCAGGGGGATCAAGTCACATGAACAGCTCCAGGCACCAGCTTCACACCCTTTTCCGCTCCCCGAGATGAAACTTTCCTGGAGCACAAAGAGGAATTTCATTATTATTTCTCTGGAAGTAATTTTTTTTATTTTAAATTGGGAATTCTATTTGCCTTCCTTCTGATTTTTTCCGCCCCGTTCTTTCCACGCAATCGTCCAGCAGGAATTTCGAAGCTGAAATTTTGCACTAAGGGCATATTTAAACTTGCTATCGCATATTCCAGTGTTTATTGACATGGAAAAAGAAGTGCTTCACCATTCATCCAGGAACTCGAAACAAGAGGGTATCTTGGGGATTAACAGTCAGCACAGAAAGCTTGTGAACACTGACAGGAAATTATTTATTTATCATTTATTCATCGGTTCCTCCTTCACTCTTTCTCCTCCATTTTCTCAGTTTCCACAGCCACAGTCTCATTTGTTTTCCTTTCACTGTGTGTCTGATTAAGGGAGAAAACCCCATTCCCTCTCAGCAGGAACAATAAGATTTGTGCCTCAGATCTATGGGGCAGATTTTGGGATCTCAACTTCATGTCTTACCTACATTTCTCCTACAGAGAAATTAAACTTAGTCTCCCCACTTTTACTAAACCATTTATTTCATCTATTTTATATATTTATTTCAGTCATTATTTATTTTAAATTTATTAATTATATATTTATATTAAAATATGTTTCTACAGCTTATATATTATATATTTGCACTTATTACTTATGTTATATATTTATTTCACCTAAACCATTTATTTCAGCAACTCCACCTCCCATTCCCCTGTGGCCTGGCAAGGTGACAGTCACCTGCAGATCACAAACACTGAATGGCCACAGATGTCTCAATATTATTATATTATATTGTACATTATTGTATTATACATTATTATATTATATTATACATTATTATATTATATTGTATTTATTATATTATATATTATAAATACAATCTATACGATTTATACCATTTATAATATATATATTATATATATAAAATATATATATTTATAATATATATCTTATATATTATATATATATTATATTTATATTTCTTTATTATAGATTATTTAGTATTAAATTATTGACAGGAGTTTCAATACAAATTCAGTGCCAAATGAAAACATATACATTTGGAAGTCAAAGATGGAGGCAAAAAATGGGAACAAAGAGGTAAAAGCAAAGGAGATTGATTTCAAGCCCATGTTAATTGGCTTTGGCACCTGTAACCAATTTCCAAATGTGCCTCAGATCCCTGTTTTCAACCGAAGTCAATGGAAGTAAAGCAGCCCTTCCCAAAGAGAAGCAAACTTCCAAATTAAGAGATTAGAAATCTTTTTTTTTTTCCAGTGGCATTTCTGACCATCAGAGCCATGGGGCTGAGCTGCTCTTTGATGGACAGTTGCTTCCATTTTGCAATTCTGCTAATGACAAAAGGGGATTGTTTGTTCTCTTCTACGGAAGGAGCAGGAATGTCACGGCTCGTGGGCCCAGGAGGAAGGAGCAGGTTTGACACAGGGATGTGTTTGACCAGCTCCTGCTCAGCTCTGACCCAGACCCGCGCTTTGGGCACAGCACTTGAGTGAAAAATCAGGTTTTTCACTCCTAAATTTGGGCCTGTTCAGCCTCAAGAAGAGAAGACTGAGAGGAGACCTCCCAGATATCCATCAGGGGCTGCAGGGAGGGGGCAGAGGATGGACCAGGCTCTGCTCGGGGGGCCCAGCGGTGGCACAGGAGGAACGGGCAGGAACTGATGCCCAGGAAGTTCCACCCGGACATGAGGAAGAACCTCTTTGCTGGGCAGTGACTGAACAGAGACCAGAGAGGGGGTGGAGTCTCCTCACTGAGGATGTTCCAGAACCTGGATGCAATCCTGTGCCGTGGGATGGCCCTGCTGGAGCAGGGAGGTGGCACCAGTTGGGACACTGTGGGCCCCTCCACCTGACCTGGTCTGTGACTGTGTAACACAACAGCACATCCCCCCACAGGGGCTTGGCTGGAGGCACATCCCAACTCAGCAAGCCCACCAGAGAGCACTAATCACTGGAGATGCCTCCAAGCTGCTGGAAAATACTCCCTCTGGACAGGCTTTTCCATCAGGGGCCGAATTAAGGTTTTATTCCTACAAATCAACACCCTACACCCCTACACACCTCAGAGGGCCCAGCTCTTCCACACACTTCATCCTTCACCCTGTATTATCTCCATTCCCTCCACCTTTCCTGCCTCAGCAACCCCCCTCCCACTCTCCTGTGGCCTGGCAAGGTGACAGTCACCTGCAGGTCACACACAGGCACTGACTGGCCAGACAGAAAAACACAGCAGGGCAAAGTTGAGCTCTCATTGTAGGCCTTTGGCTGAAATGGAGAGGAGAAAATAAAAACCCACACCCAAAACTAACTTCTCTTCCACTCAAGGAGATGTTTCCACAAGCAGCAGCACCTCCAAGCCCTCTGTGCCTCCACAGAGCCTCCCCAGTGCTGCTCAGAGGACACAAACCAGCACTGACAGACCTCCAGCTGCCCATCCCAGCGCTGTTTACCCACAGAGAAACAGCGACAAAGGCCATCAGACCTTTTATAACCTTCAACAGAAATCCTACAATAAGCATCTTCTTCCAGCAGTTGCTCCACAGCAAGAGCTGGAGGGATCCCAGGGATCAACCCAGACAGAAAAGAGGGAATAAGGAAGAGGGAGTCACAAATCATCCTATGTGGTTTCAGAAGTTGCCTTACTGCTCCTCTACTTTCCCTCATGCACAGAGGGACTGCTCTTCAACCCCACAACACCTCCTAGTTCAACAGCTATGGATAATCCCTGGAAACAAAGGCCTCCCAGCCCATCCCATATTTCCATCCCACAACTACAAGCGTGCCTCTAAAAATAACTCTTCTAACACACCCAAAAAAAGCTACCTTTACCCACATCCACTCCTCCACATTACTCCCTCACTTCCTTGAAGCCTCATATCTACTCTGCTCCCAGTCTTTGCTCAATCTAGGTCAGGTGCCTTGTGATTACAGCTCCCAGCTTTAAAGAGCCAGCCTTCAGGTACTCCAGGGTTTGATAGGATATGCTCTTCCCAAAGTTAGGACTGCACAAAGCGCTTAGGAAGCGAGTCAAAGAAGTTCTGAGCTTTCAGGGAAGCAGGAGGGCTCACAGATGGATTTGGGTATTTATTACGAAGCAAACCAGTCAGGTTGGCAGTGAGCAGCTGGGGAAATAAGAAGGGATGGAAAGAGGGTCTTTTCTAAAGCCTGCCTAAATTTACACTGACTCAACCTAAGAATCAGGGCAGTCACAACGAGATGTGCCCCTTTGGGTAGAGGTCCAAAAAAGGATTCACAGGACTGTGTGTGACGGAAGGAGGGCAAGGACACGGGTGAGATGCCCTGGGCAGCACTGGAATGGCACTGCCGTGTGCTCAGCATCCCTGCTGCCAGCACGGCCTGCAGCCCCCTCCAGACAGGAGGCTGTGCCCTGCTTGGGTTCAAGAGCAGGAGAGCAGGTGATAATGAGTGTCAGTGTGTGAGCGGGGAAGGAGGGCGGAGAATTTGGGCAGCAGCCAGAGCTGTGCCAGCAAGTTGTTTGCTGTGGACACAGCAAAGCTTGAGACTGGGCCAAACACACATTTAATCAATATGTTTCAGATCAGAAACAACTTCTGAGTCTGGAAAGTCATTACTATTCCTAGTCCACGTCCTAGTGTCTTTCCTTGGCCTTCGGATGTGACAGCCTTGATGGGTTTGGGTGTGAAGGCTTTTGTTCATGCAAAGGTTAATATGAACAGCTCACATATGGCTGCAGGAAGTGCCTGTGGATGGGATAAAGCATTAAATCCATTAGGAAATTGCAAGAGCTGTCATGGTGAATATTTGAGAAAAGTCATATCTGTCCTCACATCAAAACCAGCCCAAGCCCTGCAGGGAACATCCTACAGCCCCCCTGGTGTCTTCAAACAGGGGCTGCCCCAGAGCAGGGCAGAAAAGAGATTTCCTGTCCTGCAGGTTCTGAAATCACCTGTCAGACTGGGCCAAATCTAAAATCACCTGAAGCTTCTCATGGAAAACTGAGCCATTGGGAAGGAAGCAGGGAGGGAAGGAGTGTCTCAGCCTGCACAGCCAAGAGCATCGTGAGCATCCACCAGCGAGGCCATTCAGGGCTGGGAGGGGAAGTTCACAGTCTCACATTTGGAGCTCTCAGCACCAGGCTCTGGGCCACTCAGTACAACTCCCTCAGCATCTTTTAGCTTGGCAGCATTCCAGTGTGTACAAACAATGCAATATTTATTGGGGCACAGGGAGCCTGACTCTACAACCACTGGCTGAGGCACTCACTGAGATGGGCAGGATCAAATCTGCAGCATCTCTGTCCACTGGACAACTGCTGATGTGAATTAAACCCTTCCAGCAACCAAAGCACGTGAGAGCTCCAGCTCAGAGCGGGCGAGAACCTCGGGGGTAGGTCAGTCTGCTGCTGCTGGGAGAACGAGCTGATTTCTCTTGTCTGAAGATGAAACCAATACTCCAGTTCACTACTAAATTCTCTGACCACCAAACTGGTGTTTTTCGGAGCTTTTGTCCAAAATTTCCACCCCAGAGCCAAGTGCTGCTTTTCTGTGCTACAAACCACATGCAGGAAATGGAGAGAGAAAAATTCCTCCTAACTCAGCCATTCCAAGTCCTGAAATATTGGAGGTACTGAGGCATCACTTGTGCTTCATTAGCCCTGTTTGTCAAAGTAAGAGGAGCACAGAAAACAGCCAAGTGAGATTGCACTGCAGGTTCATCTCTTGGGTCTCAGGGGAGATAAATAGAAGAAAATGTTGATTAGAAGACAAAAATCATTAAAATGTTTGTATGGGCTCCTCCCTCTTCTCCTCAGCTTTAACAAACAGACAGTCTTAAGATTTTTGTCTTTGTATCTGTGGAATAAAGTACCCAGGCAGCTCTGGTTTTACTTCAACAGCTCTGCCTACATCTCCAGTCATCAAAGGCTCGTGATGTGCGTCTCACGTCCTCAACATCTGATTAACTCTTCAGTGATGAGCCCTCACTCCAATTTGAATATTTCAATGAACAGGGAGATGGAAATATATATCCATCAATCATTAACCAAGAAAAGGCCAGTTCCATTCCTGCCAAAGACAGCCCAAAAGCACCTGCTGTTCTGCAGAGGCATAGAATTTGGCTCAACAAACCTGTAAATGTATGGGAATGTTCACCCACTCTGGTTTAACATGGATTTGTAACATTTTCAATGAAGCAACTTCCAGTTTGTGGAAGCAGCAGGAACGCTCTAAAGCAGCTTCACTTTGAAACCAGAAGACACTTTTTCTTACTCACAATGCTTAATCTTTCCAGCATATGTTGAAAATAAAAGATATTTCATGACTTGTAAAGACTCTCAGTGTTATTCCACACTAAACCCCTTTATACTTCAGTTATGAATGTGCTGTAGCTAAAATGTTTTAAGAATACCTGGATCAAAGGCAATGGTACACAACAGGGATGAAAATCAGGAGTTAATTCTTCCTTCCTCACCAAGGCAGAGTCAACAAGGCAGAGACTGCATTTAATACACACAGTTATCTTACAATATCTGGTGGTAATACCAGTGCCCCCTTTGGAATGATTTGAGCAGGAACTGAAGGTGTTTGTGCCATAAAATGGAATCAATACAGTGGGGAAAAGGACAATAAAATGCCTGTGGAATCCCCTTATAAATCTGGGGACATAGAGAAACATAAAACCAACTTGTTAACCACACCTGCTGCTGCTTAAAACATCACCAAAGGGTAACCAGACCAAAACAGCCACAAAACTGTTTCTCCCTTCACTAGTCCATATGTTCATAACCATGGAAAGCGTTTTCCAGCTCGGTCACTACCCTGGGCCTAAACTTGTGCTTTGCTCACAGCCCCAGGCTGGCCTTGCTGACCCCTCCTAAAGCACACAGAGAATGTTAAATGGCAGAGAGATCAACAGAAATGCATGTATTTATCTTATCCTCCTCACTTGTTAAGCAGAAATAATTCAGGGACAATAAGCAAACCCCGTGGAGGTGAACAGGCAGCAGGAGCAGCTCCATTTCCAATTTAGGACCAAGTAGGTGACCCTGATGCTCCTTTTGGATCCATCACTAACACACTTTTCCTGCTTCTGAAGGATGAGATTGTGAGAGTTGCCCACCCTTGGAAACTGCAGCAACCAGTGTACAGGGCCTCTAGTTTTTGGCAGCAAGCCTAATATTATTTTTGTTTGCATAACATCATATCTACATGGCAAACACATATGGATCCATATTTATTCATCCATATTTATTCAGCCTTTGAACATGCACCAGGATTAATGCATTTGGGCATGCAAGACTTTCCAGATCATTAAGAGTAGGAGAAAAATCAACCCAAGTGTTACACATTTTTCCTACATGATAAATGGAAGAACTGTTTTGAAGCTATTCTTCTATTTTCTTTTGAAATAAGGTAATTGGGCTCATTACCATAAAGCCTGCAGGGAAATTATTTTCCTCTGTAAGTTGGTTTCATTTTTTTTGGAAGGGAAATGCAATCATCTAAACCCAAAGTTTGCTCTGTAGGATCCTTCATATGCACAGTAGCAGGAAGAGACTCTTGAACCTGAAAGGTTACTCTGTTCTACCACTCCCTGGGAAAATATCACAGAAGTTTATTTGATTCCAGAGATAATTCTAAGCATTTATCAGTCCTTTCTTGTCTTGGTTTAGAGACAACCTGAGTTTGTAGCTCTTCTGATGAGAACAGAAGCTCCATCTCCTCTCCTGCAGCTGGGCAGGGCTGGCTGGAGTGATGAAGCATTTGTGCAGATGGGATCGGGGGGGAGAGTTCTTCTTGTTGGCACTGAGCGATTTTTTTTGTGATTGGCAGATCAATGCCTGTTTGTTTACGTGTGGATCTTTAAAATAGATGCCAGCACTCCCAGCACTGGGGGGCTGAGTGTTTTCTGCATCAGAGCAGAACAAAAACTGCACATAAATAAATGCAACTCACCAATCTCTCCGACATCGGCGTCTTGTCTCCATCCGGCAAGTGTTGTTCCAGAGCCAGCACGATACAATTGGCTATGATTGTAGCTAAAATCATGTATTCAAATGGAGTGAGGACCAAAAAGTTAAAGAAGAGACTGGACAACAGAAGGAGAAACTCGTCCAAATCCCATTTCTACCCCCAAAGTCACATTAATTGAGCATTCTAAGATTTCTCGTATTTTTGAAGGCATTCAGTCTCCCTGACTTCCTCAGTTCTTTCTGGGTTGTGTTTGGAAGAAAAGTAGGCAATTGGCTCTCTTCTTTGAGAGTCAGAGTTTTACAGAGAGTCAGAGCTGCTCAAGGAATTTGGGAGCAAGAAAGCAAAAGGTCCAAAGGAAACAAAAACCTATTAATAATCATTGGTTTAAAATGAGATTGATAAACTGAACTGCCTCAGAATAGATTATACAGCTGAGCACCATCTGCTGAATTGTCCTTCAGAAACATTTCCCTTCAACACATGGTGCAAATAAAGTGATGGGCTGGAAAAGTTTGTCTACACAGGTCCAAAACGTGAATTACTACTGGATTGCAATTCTCCCAGTGAGAATAAAATCACCAGCGCCCTTTCGGGATGTAGGAGAGAAGCAATCCCAGGGGAAGGATCCCGACCCGGCACCGGGTCCCTCCTTTTGCTGTTGTCTCCAGCCCCGAGCTGTGCCGAGCCCCAGCTCTCCCAGGGCAGAGCTGCACCACGGAGGGCAGAGGGGCCTGAGGGTGGGAGATGGATCCGCTCAGCACCACAGGGAGAGGCTCAGCACCATGAGGAGAAACTCAGCACCACGGGGAGAGACTCAACACCACGAGGAGAGAGGATCAGCACCACGGGGAGAGATCAGTCCAACACAGCGGGGAGCTCTGCTCAGCACCAAGGACTATGTGTTCGGCACCACGGAGAGCTCAGCTCAGCACCGTGGAGAGCTCAGCTCAGGACGGCGGGGAGCTCAGCTCAGCACCAGGTTCAGCACTGTGGAGAGCTCGGCGTGGTACCAAGGACAGCACCAGTTGGCACCCTGGAGAGCTCGGCTCAGCACCGCGGTCAGCTCAGCTCAGCACTGTGGAGAGCTCTGTTCAACATCGCAGGGAGCTCAGCTCAGCACCACGGGGAACTCGGTTCTAAACCGCAGAGAGCTCGGCTCAGCACCGCGGAGAGCTCAGCTCAGCACCACACAGAGCTGGGTTCAGCGTCACAGAGAGCTCGGTTCAACACCTTGGAGAACTCAGCTCTACACCCCTCAATCTCGGCTCAGCACCGCGGAGAGCTCGGCTCTACACCCTACAGAGCTCGGCTCAGCACCGCGGAGAGCTCGGCTCTACACCCCTCAAAGCTCGGCTCAGCACCCCTCAAAGCTCGGCTCAGCACCGCGGAGAGCTCGGCTCAGCACCGCGGAGAGCTCGGCTCTACACCCCTCAAAGCTCGGCTCAGCACCCCTCAAAGCTCGGCTCAGCACCGCGGACAGCTCAGCTCAGCACCGCGGAGAGCTCGGCTCTACACCCCTCAAAGCTCGGCTCTACACCCCGCAAAGCTCGGCTCAGCACCGCGGACAGCGCCCGGCCCCGCCCGCCCAGCGGCCCCGCGGGGAAGGGCCGGTGGCTCTGCCGGTCCCGGTGGCTCCTCCGGTCCCGGTGGCTCCGCCGATCCCACCGGCTCCGCAGAGCCGTGGATCCCGTCCCCACACCCCCGGGAAAGACGCAGCCGAGTGGCCCAAGAGGCAGGGCAGGGACAGACTGCGCCCGGCCTCGCGGGCAGGGCGATGCTCTGCCTGCCACCGGGGCTTTGGGGCTTGTTTATCCACGCTGGAATGCAGGGAAGGAGAAATGGATCGGGAAGCACAGCAATCCCTGGGATTGTATAACATGGACAGAAAGATCAATACGTGTGTGTGTTCAGAGAGAAGGGAAGTGCGTTCGCTCCACGGGTGTATTTTTCCTGTGAGCCCCTCAGGAAGTGAAAACTGGGGAAGCCTAAAGAGGAGCTGGCCTCTGTGGCAACTGAAAGTGTTGCTAGGAGGCTGGGAGGAGGCCTGGCTGCCGTTAGCTGGGGATTAACAGGGGTGTGATATCAGATGAAAAGAAAGCAGCCGGCTCCCTTGAGACCCCCAGTGCGATGCACTCCTGTACACACACACACACATCAGCTACTCCCTGGTGGCCTCAAACACTCTGCTCCCCTTTGCTCATGGCTTACAACCAGCATTCCCAGCAAAGCCCCCTCCTGAGGATCATCACTCGGCCTGGGAGCTGGGGCTCGGACAGGAAGCATCTGCCCCTTTCACCACACAGCAGACGATCCCTCTCCCCACTTACTGCCTCCCTCTGCCTCAAGGCTTTGCTAATATTTTTTTTTTTAGTACAGCCTAAGCTTAGACTACGCACCTCATCGGAGTGCCATGATTCATGTTGATTCTAATGGATTCAGGTTTAGGGGATGTGCTAAACCTGAGCTGCAATGATTGTATTCCTGGGATTCGCCAGGTACCTGGGCTATCAATGTCCCTACTATCAATGCAGCTTTAATGCTAAGGTGTCACCATTTTTATCCCTTCTGCTGTTCAGAGTGAGACAGAAGAGTTGGAAGGCTCCAAGATGGAAATAAGAATCAGGATTCATCGGCATGAACCTCACAGAACCCTTTGCAGTTGGCTTAAATTGTAGGGAATGTAAATCTACATGTCCACCTCACACCTAAAGACACACTGGCATGCACGTATGTCTGACACAGAGCCCTGGCATAAGGCACCCCCAAAACACCCTCTGCTGTGCCCACAGGAGGAGCTCCCCGTGATCCCCATGGACACGGCCGTGCGTTATGTCGGGCACAGGGATCCGTGGCACACACACCCACCGCACACCCTGGCTCACACATGCACGTCTGCATTAGCCCCAGACACTCATCCTGCGCTGCCCAGAGGGGTCTCTTCCCCTCAGCCTCCCTCTCCCCCTCCCCACCTTCCCCCCCGTGCCCACACAGCCTCCCTGAAAGGATATGGCCATTCTGTTATTCGCTTGGCGTATTTCCGTATAACATTATCTTCACTGAAGATGAAGAGGGATCTGTTGACTGTGAAGCAGTTCTGTTTGACAGGGATGGGGTTGTAGAGAGCCATAGTCCTGGCCCTCTGAGCCATCGACTGCTTATACATCCTTTGGCCGGCTTGGGGGCCACCTTGCCGGCTGCTCCCTCTTCCAGCCCCGGCCGGCCCTCCACCTCCATAGCGGGTCGGCAGATCATCCCCAAACCGAGCCATCCTCGCGGTGCACGGAGCCGGGCGCTACAATCCAAACTGGCAGCCGAGGCGAGAGGAAGACGCATCACAGCGCGCAGCACTTCTCCCTCCGGGGGCTTCAGTCGCGGGATCGGGATTGATCGCAGTAAAAATATATTGATGTATTATAAAAAAAATAAAATTAAAATAAAATAAAATAAAAATAAAAATCCCTTTCCCTTCCTCCACCCCCTGCGCTTCCCCCGCCGCGGTGGCTGCCCGGGGGTAGGAGGAAGGCGCCGGGGCTCCGCTCACCTCCCCGCACAGGTGCCGTCTCTCCGGCCCGACCTCATGGCCGGGGCGGCGGGGGGGGCGGCCGCGGCGGTCGCGGTGCCTCGGCTGGGCTGGGAAGGGGCTCTGCGCTGCTGCCGTGCCCGCCGCGGGAGCGCTCGCCGTGCCCAGCCCAGCCCAGCCCGGCACGGCTCCGGCACGGCCCGGCCCCGCCGCATGTGATGCCCGGAGCCAATGGGGCCGCCGCGGCTCCGCCCGCCCCAGTCACCGGCACCGGGGGGCGGGAGGAGGGAGGATGGAGCCCGGCCCGGCCCGGCAGCCACCGCCCACCCCGGTAAAAACGGCGGAGCCGCGGCTCCTCCCCGGGGGAAGGAGGGATGGACCCCTCCCGTGCCCCTGCGCAGCGCTCCGCGGGCGCGCAGAGCCCCGGCCGGGGGTGCTGCCGGCCGGGAAGGGGGTGCTGCCGGCTGGAAAAGGGCGGGGGGCACAGGCGAGGCGGCCCCCGCGCCTGCGCGCCCTGCCCAGATGTGCCCTGCCCAGATGTGCCCTGCCCAGATGTACCCTGCCCAGATGTGCCCTGCCCAGATGTGCCCTGCCCTGCCCAGCTGCCGCGCCCAGGGGTGCCCCCACGGCGCAGCACCCCCAGCACCCCCGTCCGTGCGATCAGAAGCCCCCGGGAAGGCTCAGCCGGGGGGGACAGTGCGGGGGGTGCGGGGCAAGCGGGGGGCTCGGTCCGCAGCCCCCGGGGCAGGGAGGGATGCGGGGGGCCGGGGGTGCAGCCCCCGCAGCAGCGCCCGGGGACAAAGCGGTGCGGGGATGCGCCGGATTGAAACAGAGCTGCGCCCTTCTGGACAACTTACTTTGTTTCTCCTTGGTTTGAATGACTCCTGCAGAGCGCTGGATACCTTTAATCCTGTATTTATGGACGAAATCCTTTAATCCTGTTTATTCCAACACCCTCTGTTGCTTCCCTCCACCACGAGTCAGAGAGAGAACTCCTCCTCGTTCCTGGAGCGCCGCACGGCAACAGCCACTGCAGTGGCTGGGGAGGAAATGCTTTAGCATTTCGGCTAAATTTGGGATACAAACTATTAACTTTTTAGAAGGGACCCTCCGGAGAAGTCAGGGCTGTCAACAGGGGGGCATTTTCGCTTCCCCCACAGCAAGGAAACCCTGGACTCTGCTGCTAATGTGTTTTTTGCCTTAGTCATCCAAGCTGTCTCAGTTCAAAACCAACCCACCGACCAGGCGAGCCTGTAGCAATAACATCTGCCGGCTTCGGGAGACAGGGACAGGGCTGGCAGCATCCACAAGTGACACAAATAAGGTCTGGCAAGAGGCAAAGGGTGACTCTCTGGAAGAAACTGGCTTGTTACCCGAGGGGGTTTCGGTGTCTGGAGGGCTCTCTCTCCGCAGCAGAGCCACAGACACACTCAGAGGCAGCAGCGGCTGCCGAGGGGAGCCGGGAGCGGCTCTAACTCACCGAGACACGGCAGAAAAGAAAGAGGGAAGAAGGTGCAGCCTCGAAACATCCTCTACCTCGAGGGTCAGACACAGAGGGAGCCACCAGGCCCCCCCCCGACAGGGACACGGGCACCCGGGTTGTGCCAGCCCAGGGGAGCAGGGCAGCAAGAAGCAGCTCCAATCCGTGGTTTGCCTTCCCGTGTGCTTGCTGGGAAGGCAATAAAATAAGACTTTTTCTCCACCCCCGTTTTTATTAATTTGCTGGTTAAACTGAGTGCTGGAGGCTTTGGGGAAAACTTTGCACAGAGACAGACGCTGAAGTGTTTCGGCATCCCCGTTACACTCAAACAGACCCCGGGCACGCGTTAAAATGAGTGTTTCCTCCTGTAGCTCTTCACCCCCGAGCTCTGCTGAGCTGATCCACACAAATGGGTCTTCAGGGAAAGTTTCCTTATTTTGTAGAGGTGCAGGGAGCTCACAGGATGAACAGGGCAGGAGAAAGTTTTCCCTAAAAACATTTTCATTTTCATCCTCACTGTATTTCTTTCTGTGGTGCATTTATCTCTCACATGAAAATCAAGTTTCCCTCAGCTGATTTATTCAGTTGTCTACATTTTTCACTTCTCTGCTTCTGGCCACTAAATCTAATATATTCTGTGGCCTTTTTCACTGGGAAAATCTGACTATTTTTCTCAGTAAACATTAGAAGAGGAAATGCCATTTTCAGTAATCCCCCACCCTCTTCTGAGGGAAATCAGCATCTGGAAAAAAAAAGAAATACGTTATTTTCCATCAAGATCAAGATACGAGATCAGTGGGGTGGGTGAATGACACAACAGCTCTGAAAAGTGAACAAAAAAATAAAAGTGTTGTATTTTGCATCAGGTCTTATTGAGAATCAGGGAAAATTCTGACCTCCACATCCCCTTCTCTCCTCCTACAGCCACCAAACCATCTCATTTCTCCCAGGAACAGTCTCCCCACCACAGCACTGCAGTGAAGTCAGAGCCAGGGTGGTGGGGGTGTTTGTGACGAGGAGAAGATGATCCCAGCCTGCCGTGGGGATGTTCTATGAAACCACAGTTTGCCCTTCCCTCAATCTGCGTGCTCAGAGCTTTTTTTTTTTTTTTTTTGTGGGGGGGGAAGGGGTGTTTTTTTGTTGTTTTTTTTTTCCCCCACACCATAAGGAAGATCACACAGATCTTAAGCACTGAAAGCCTTAAAGAAGAAAAAGAGATTGCAATTGCAAGGATTATTCAGCTTTGAGAGGGGAAGCATCAGGATTTAGTTGGGCTTTTTAAGATTATGAGAAAAGCAGGGGAGTTAAGAGAAAGCAAAAAATTTACAGAGCTGAAACAGGTCAGACATCCATAATCTCCCATTACAGGAGGGCAAAGAGCATCCCCTGGCAAATTCTAAAAATGGATTCAGTCATGAGTAACTCCTCCTCATAAACCCCAAAGACAGAGGTGAACAAATCACTCTGCTCTCCAGCACTGGCTGATTCTGCTTCAACAAGGAGCCTTCCTCTGCCCTGAGCAGCTTTGCCAGGCAACCAAGCATCTCCCTGGACTTTCACCTCCATCCCAAGCCTGGGACAGGTGACTGGGCTTAATGGAGCAGCACTTCCATCTGGCAAGGCAGAGACAAGGCAGAGAAAATGGTACAATATTGCAGGTCTGATCCTGTCAGATGGTTGGGACACTTGGAGCATGGCAAGCACCCATGGGACTGTTTATTTGCCCTGGCACAGCAGATCCCAGAGACTCCTGGGACAGCCCAGATCCATCTCTGAGGGTGTTTCTGGTTAAATTACAAAGAGGACTTTCAGCTTACTCTGTTCCAGAGGCAGGAGCACAGGTCTCCTGTGTGAGGGACAGTGGCTAAAATTTAGGAACACAACCCCAACATCCCCTCAGTTGTCATCCCCCTCTGAGCAGGTCAGAAACGGCAGCAGAAAAGCAGATTTTTTTCCTTTAAGAGAGAAACCCCATCATGCCCTGACTCACCTGGGTCCTGCCCTACACTTGGAGCAGCTCAGAGGGAAGGCCAAGGTTTCTTTGTGTCCAGGTGAGCTCAGGGGTCAGAGAACCGTAGACAGAGTATTATTTGGTCTCAGAATTTGCAAAAGTGAGGAACAGAGCAGCCACTTCAATCCCATCTTGGAAGCTCTGGACCCAGGTTATTGCCAAGCAGAGCGGCTCCCAAGAGCACATTTCCCTTAAAAAATAAACAAACAACACAGACTGCACATCTCCTTCCAGCCCTCAGGAAGGTCCAGAGCTTCAGGCCAAGAAAAGCAGCTTACTGAGGCGTTCCTGACCACTGATTCCTGCTCTCCTCACTCCCATGCACCCATTTTGCACCAGCTGTGCTGGAGGAAAATCCTGCTGAGATGCAGGTAGAGAAAATTTTTTAAAGACTGTGCTCGAGTCTGCCGGAGGATGCAGAAAGGCATCATGCAAAAGCCAGAGAGGGGAGGGCAGGGAGAAAGATGCTCTGATAAATTTAGAAAGGATAAAAAGATAAAAGAGTGAACAAAGGGAAAAGAGGCCCCTCGAAGATACAGCTCCTCTTATGTAGGTGTCATGGTCATGGTGTTGTCTGTAATATCTGTAACACAGTGGCCCAAACCCCTGGAGTCAGAGACCCTCAGCTGGTCCACAAATGTGGAAAAGGAAAGAGCCTTCACTGGGAGCTCATCAGCTCTGGGAGCACTGATGGCAAAGCCTGGCTGGCACAGCAATTGCTGGCACAGCAATTCCATCCCTGCATGGACCTCCAAGCTAAACCCACCCCAACCCCAGAGCAGCACCCAGCTCTGCCAGCCCAGGACACAGCAGGTCGAGTGCACTGTGTGCAAGGCTTGGTCTGAATGGTCAGAATTGAGGAGAGGGAACCTGAGGCACCTGCAGCCTCTGACACTGAGGTGCTTCCAGCCATGCAGGGCAGGGAGGGAGAGCAGGGACTCAGTCCCAGCTCAGCACCTTCTGCAGGTCATCTCTCCACCCCGAGTGAACCCCTGGAGACCAGGAGTGGTTGTACTAGTTCTGCTTCTCTTGAACTCAGTTCCTTTGTGGATGGACCACAAATGAAGCCCAGCAGCCATTCCTTGGTGTGGAAGGAGTCACGTGAACTCAGTCTGGCATCTTTGCTTCGGGTCCCAGGTCGCTCAATAACCAGCTCAGTTCTCCAGCGAGCAGGACCTGAACAACACCACAGTTAGAAAATTCACAGCAGTGGGTAACTGGGGAATCACAGGACACAGTGAAGGCTGGCCAGTGTTGAAGACAGAGAAGAACCTTCTCTGTGGTGCCCAGTGTCCCCAGTGCTACTGCAGGACATCCCAGCTCCAGCGCCATCGGAGCAGTGTTAGTTCTGTGGGAAAACAACCTGCTTGCACACAGCCAGTGCTTGAGGCAGTGAACTCGTGACCACTGTGCTGTGATCACAGAATCACTGAATGGTCTGTGATTCCTAAGGATCATCCAGTTCCAACCCCCTGCCATGGGCAGGGACACCTTCCACTAGCCCAGGTTGCTCCAAGCCCTGTCCAACCTGGTCTTGAACTCTTCCAGGGCTGGGGCAGCCACAGCTTCTCTGGGCAACCTGGGCCAGTGCAGATTTTATCCATCCAGATTATGGATAAAAAGGACTTAAAAGAATATCAGGCTTCACAATTTTATTATCCTTGGCATTTCTAAGATCACTTCTGCACCACT